AGGGGCTTGGATGGCGTGTGAACGGTGCGTTCGTTGGCAGGTACTAGGAGTGAAGAATGTCGTTTGGTATTCTTGATCGAAGTGGGCGTGTTGTTGAAGTCGATAATATGAGCTTTCAGAGTTTGAGATTGGGAGCGACCTAGGGAAGATGAAGGGGTGGATGAGATGGATGAGGATGGGGGGAAGGAGGCTTGACAGGCTGAGGGGGGCGGATGGGGTGATGGAGTGGTAGGATAGGCTGTGGATGGGTTGATCTCCTCATCCTCGTCGTACTCGTCGTAATATCTACCGCCGGCCAAGGTTTTGAGGGTGTGTTGACTGGTACTGAGACCGAGTGGAGAAGGAGCTGATGATTGTCGATGAGCGGTTGGGATGGGTCTGGTGGCTTGTTGTGATGATGATGATTGAGAGTTGGAGAGTGAGTGGGAGATGGTGGTGGGGATTGATGGGAATTGGCGAGTATGTGGGGAAGGGTTTTGGTGCCTGTCGGGTGAGACTAGTCCTGGGGTGAGCGAGACATAGGGGGAGGCAGAAGGGTTTAAGAGTTGGAGTGAGCGACGAGTAGTTGGATTGTTGCTGTTGTTGTTCTTGTTGGTTGTTGTTGTTGTTGGTGGTGGTGAGCTAGTGGTGGTGATTGAGTTTTCTTCGAGTTCGAAGGATGAGTCGTCGTCTGGGTTGGCAGCAGAGGAAGCAGTGGATGAGCCGCCGAGAGAGATGAGGGTGGCTGAGCGTTGTTTGGGTTTTGCTTTGAGGGGTAGTTGCTTGGAGTGATGAGGGATGAAGGAGGGCATTCTCGTCAAGAGTCTGCGTTTGCTTGAGTGTTTGAGGTTGGTTTTTGGCGAATTACAGCTGAGAGAAGAAAAGGTAAACGAGTCGGAGTGCAAATATTTATGTTTTTTTGGTTTTTTGTTGATGTTGCTTGGTTTAGTTTCAGTTGGGGTGGCCCAGAGACAGGGCTTGGGTAAGTTTGAGTTTAATTATTAAGATAAAAGGAACCAATGCGTGGGAAGGTGTAAGATATTAGGAGGGGTGTGTGTGTGAAGGAGA